ACGAAATTTATGCATGGGGGGGGGGGGGTGGTAATCCCTCAGCCTGACCTGTACCCTTTCCAATCTGGGACCCCTCGGGGGATGTCCGACTGCCGGTTTAGGACATCCTAAACCGGCAGTCGGACATCCCTCTTGCAATCTGGGACCGCTGGCTCCTAACAACTCACCTGCCTGCCTGCCTGACCACCCCTAACCACTTTGCCTGCTGGCCTGCTCGCTCCCAACTGCCCCCCTGCCAGCCTGATCCCCCCCAACTGCCCCCCCTGCCGGCCTGCTCATCCCCAACTGCCCCCCGCCAGCTTGATCACCCCCAACTGCCCTCCCCTTTTGGCCTGATCACCCCTAACCACCTCTGCCTCGGCCCCACCACCATGACTTTGTCCGGAATGACATCCAGAAGGTCTCCCGGTCTAATTAGCACATTTCCCTTTTATTAGGATAGATTGCTCTTTCTGATGGAGTCATAGTTCTTGGAGAGTTCTTTCATTTTCTGTATACTCAAGTTTCACTCTTCTTCCCTCTATGTCATTTTTAGGTTTCTATCTTAGATATCACTAATTCTTTCCTCCATCTGGTCAGCTCTATTTCCTGTGCTCACTAGTTAATTCTTGATTTCTTTTATTGAGTCCTTCATGTCCAGAATTTCTTTTTGGTTCTTTTCAAAAGTTTTAATCTTTTAGGTAAAGTACTCATTTTGTTCATTGATTCTATCATTTCTTAGCACATTTAAAATATGACTTGCTTCAATATTCAATATATTTTTGTTATTTTCATCCCCAAAGATACAATTTTTGTTGAAAACTGTTTGTGGATTTTCACAAAAGCAAAAGTACTGATAATTCAACTTTTTAATAAAAGTTACTTTCCTGTGAAAGAGGGAAATATTGATACAGCATCTTGTGTCCCCAAATTTCTACAAATGAGATACCTGATAAGATGATGCTTCCCTTTCTTCTGAGGGACAACTACTAAATCTAAAGACTTTAAAAAACATATTGGAAGTAGGAGTTGGGATCTTCAAGAACTAATAAGAGCCTCACAGAAAATAAGCAAGTAACATTTTATTAAAAAGCCTTTAATATAAAATAATTCATGAAAAGTTTAAAATGGGTCCTGTTCCTTAGTGAGTTTTAAAGTATTACAAAGATTTCTTTATTTTGTAACTTCCATCACTCATTTCTCAGTATTTATTAAGTGTCTCATATCCATAAGATATGTGCAAGTTGTTGGGGATTAAAAAAATAAACTAGTAAGACAATCCAGCCCTAGCAGGTTTGGCTCAGTGGATAGAGAGTTGGCCTGCGGACTGAAGGTTCCCAGGTTCAATTCCGGCCAAGGGCACATGCCTGGGTGTGGGCTTGATCCCCCATAGGGGGCATGTAAGAGGCAGACGATCAATGATTCTCATCATTGATGTTTCTATTTCTCTCTCTCCCTCTCCCTTCTGCTCTGAAATCAATAAAAATACATTAAAAAAAAGACATAGCCCATGGCCTTGGGAGCTTCATTATCTAGTATACATTGATTAAACTAAAATACTTTTAATGCTCAAGGTATGGCTAGCTTTTTTTCCTTTGGTGTCTGCTAATACAATAAGCATTCAATAAACATTTGTTGGCTGAATTTCACCCTGGCATCCCTGTTTCATGGTTGCTGAAAAGGATTTCACAAACTTAAAGATAAGCAAAACTTCAAGGTTAAATCTTAATATGAACCCACACTTTGCAGATGGCTAATGGGGCCCAGAAATGTTAAGTGACTTGTCCAGGGTCAACAGCAGAACTAGAACAAGAATTTAGAACACTCGGCTTCCAGCTAATCTCCATCATTTCAACCTTTGAAGATTTAAACACTCTCTACTCTTTCTTCTCTCTGTAATTAGCTCATTCATTTAGCCTGTTCATTTAACTTAGTCTCAACACATCTTCCTTTTAACTCTGTACTCATCTGTGCAGTATTCTCTAAACCCTCACAGGATTTCATGCTGTCTCTTCAATTGTGAAGCCCAGCTTAGCTGTAACTTCAACGTGAATCTTCATATAGACTCTGAAATGAGCTGGAGCTCTTAGGCAAGAAAATAAAGCTCTGGCCACACATCTGAAACCTTATCGCATCCATCCTCTTCCTAGGCGCCCCAGTGTGTCCCCCTGAGGTGTGTGTGGATGGATCCCAGGAGGAAGGAGAAGCAGTCACTCTGCTGGGCTGTGTCCCAGAAGCCCTCTGCCACAGCATCATTTCACTGTCATGTGCTCACATACACATGGTCTTCTGTGAAAACTCATGTATGACAAGTAGGAATATCTTCTGTGTGCCCAGAGGAACAAATAGACCTATTTAAGCATTAAAATTATATCACAGCCTTAACATAAAAATAATCAATAACAACAATATAATAACAACAACAAACTTACCACTGTCTGGAATTGGTTGTGGTGAGTTCTTTAACTTTAGATTTTGTTTTCCTTTTGTGGATTTTTCTAAATTCACATCCTCTTTTTTCCCTTTCCTCTTTGGGGGCTGAGGAGATGAGTTGTCACTGGATCCTACAGTTGACTTAGATTGGCGATCATTTCCCTAAGTGGCAAAAGATCAGACCCTTATTATTGGCTAATGAACTCCCAAAGTGATTCCTAGTGGGGAAAAAAAAGTCATTCGTAGGCATTAGGTAAATAGGGCAGGGGCCAGAGATGGATGCATTGCGCTGATTCTGCTTCGGTCCATTTTAATACCTACAATTAACTCTTTTTAGTGGCAAAAGAAGGGTCTGGGAGAGGAAGAAGAATAAAAATAATGATTGTTGATTAGTTAATATTACCATGTATTCTATAAAATTAAGTCACTCAATCTTCATACCCCTATGAAACAGGTACTATTGTCACCCCATTGTAAAGAGGAAAAAGGAGGCTTAGGAAGTAAGCCTTGTCCAAGGTCACGCCCCCAGCAAAGAGCACAGCAGGCCCTCTGCCCTAACCATCCCCTCCCTCCTGTGCTTTCTGAAGAATCAGCAGCTACCTATTAAATGAGGAATAGGGACAATCCTCAGTTTGATCAGTTAATTAAGAAATACCTTCTTGAGAACCAAGATGGCGGCATAGGTAAACACCTGAACTTGCTGCCGTGCACAACCACATTAAAACTACAACTAAAAGACAAAACGCATATCTCCCAGAACCACAGGAAGGCTGGCTGAGTGGAAATTCTACAACTAGAAGGAAAGAGAAAAGCGCATTGAGTCTGGTAGGAGGTGCAGAGGTGTGGAAGTGCAGAAGTACAGAGGTGCGCGCAAAAGGGGCTGGCAGCTGGGTACGCTGTTGTCTTTTTCAATCATGAGGGAGATACAAGCTACTGACTGCTCTGAACTCCAGTTCTGGGTGAGAATTTGGGGACCCAGACTCATACGGAGAGAAACTGGACTGTCTGGCATCGGGCTGGAACGTGAGGGCAGCTTTCTCACAGAGGTGCTTGCAGCGGTTATTGTTCCTACACGGACACAGACCCCGGGACCTCTCCGAGGCAGAGCAGACTAGCAGCCATTGTGGTTTGCTCCGCCCTGGTGATTCCCTGAGACCCCGCCCCACCCAATTTATAACCCCA